CTTTCACACAGGACAGCTGACACAACTGGCATGATTTTTCGGTCTAAACATACTCGTAGATTTGTATGTCTCTTTGAGTGAACGCTTTAAATCTGTATATTTTTATCTGGCTGTCAACGGGTACAATAAAAATGAGGCCATCACAGACCGCAACGTTCATAAATCTCCAGCGATGTGGCAACAGGCGATTACAACTAGTGAGCGATAAGTGACTTAATAAATAGTTTATTGTCGATGTAGAGATATCTGCGTGTTCCCGCACTCCACACTCTACACTCATCACTCCTCGCTCCGCTTACAACCGCCGCTCAATTGTTCTGCCGATGATTGATAAATGCTTTGACGGGATTTCGACGCTGTCCTATACTACGGTGACCATTATTATAATAAATCAATGGGATAACATCCCATTTACTAGAATAAATTATAGCTTACGATGCGCATTTATCTTTATTATTGACGGATAAGGTTAAGCTATAATCGGATAGTCTTGCAAGGGCTCTAGGTATATGAAAAGGCTTGCCTAGGCACGATGTTTTACCCGAGAAAGAGTTGAATTTTATTAAAGGTAACATGATTAAGAAGAAAGTACCGTGATTGGGATAAAGACAAGGATATAATGACCTTTCTTTACCTACATTACATTTCAACCAATGAAGGAGACATATCCCGCAATTATCTATACTAAGGGTCACTTTGCTTTACAAGTTAATACAGCGACGATATCTCTGCTCGCTTGTAGCATCGCGAGTTATTGTAACAATGCTTTTTAAATAGAGCAACGAGGTGATTAATTTGATGACGTGAAACTGACGTCTGGTAGAGGGCACTTTGGTACGTCGTCGCTCAGACTGAGTAGACGACGGACAACTATTCAACTTATCGGACTATATTTAAGTAATGTTTATAAAGGTCTTATTAGTGGAAAAGTATTGCACACTTGATATCCTGTTTAGTACCAACACAAAGGGCTGGTTATTATTAGCAGTAGTAAAATATAAATGTTTAGGCTGTAATGAATCAGGCAGTAAAATCTAAACGTTTAGGCAGTATATACGCTGGCTATAAATATCGAAGAGTTAACTACTTAACAGGCCCAACTCGCTTCGTAAATTCCTATTATTTACGTAGGCAATGACATATTTTATGAAATTATTGGATTTAATGTGACCAGTGTTGGACAGAGTGTTGAATATTAACTTGTGACTGTTTTAGAACACAATAAATTAACACATACAATTATTTTTGTTTGCAATTTAACAAATACTTAATTGTTAAATAAAACGACCATCACAGAAATGAATAAATTAAGAAATTCTCACAGAAGGTAAAGAGTATAAATTAAAATGTATTTCTGTTATATCATAAGATAGCAAACGAGTAAGCGGTCACCTGAAAACGCCAAAATAGAGAAGCGACCGCTGCGTAAGGTTGCGTTGCCTACCCTTGATCGACGGAGGAGGAAACGCACATAAAGAGGATATTTCCCCTTCCTATGTTTCTCTTACACTATCCAATCGACGTTCCATCCCATCCTTTTCGTATAAGAAAACGGGTGGGAAGTAAATGGGACTATAGTTGGGCCGACGGCACCAAAGTATGGATATTTTGTTATAAAATTGATCGAAATATCGAAAATGTTGGTAATATAACATTACATAGACATTTGCGTACAATAGAGGAAAGGACGTAAAGAATGGAACGGCCTTCAAGTAACGGTATTTAGACGTAGGGTTTTGGAAATTCAATTAATTCCAAGTAAGTTTATTTCCAAATAAATTCTGTAACAAAGTATTATTCATGAGTCGCTACGGCGCCGAGCTGCAAGCTTGCGGCAGGAATTTCGAAGCTTTATCAGATTCGAGCGCCGAAAGCTCTATTTATCTCTACAAGCTTTGAAACTAACGTAAATGTACACGGAATTAAGTCCGTGGGAAATATTTGCATTTGTCAATGATGTTTAACTTTTTTTGGTTCTAAGACTAAATTTATACGATGTTTCGGACTCTAAATTTGTACACCAATTACGCGTTTTATCAATTCTGACATCATCCAGAGAAACAAAATCGGAAACTATCGCCCAAACTCGTTGCTCAGATTTAGCGAATTGAAATCCATAAGGCAACGACCCGTAGATAACAGGATCAAAGGTATAACATTATCTCTTATTTTTTTTAATTTAACTGTGGTTATACGCGACAAAAGTATTCAATTTATAATGTTTTGCTATTTCTCTTCACGATATTAGACTGATCTGCGTACATTTTTTCAGTTAAGTCGACATGTTCACGTTATTTTAAAGTTATACGTTACTCTATTCCGTTACACAGTTTCGCGATTCATTTGTTTTTAAATTACCAACCCAAGACTTTATCCTTTGATCATATCGTGGCTTACAAATGCAAGCTACATTCGCATACAACTCAATAAATTAACACGTTCTAATGAACGTTACAAACGCTGTCATACTTACTTTACTTTGAACTTATAATTACACGTGAAAGCGTTTGTTTCTAGGACGAATGCTCTTATCTATAACTCTGTATAAGATCATGTCTGTTATATTTTTTGTACCTCCAAAAGCATATAAATCCATGGCTAATTACTCGCCAAATAGGCATAATGCTAGCGGCTGTGATTGCCTAATACGGCGATCGCTTTTTGCCAACATGATTGGGTTAGATCACATTCACACGTGCGTCGCAAAATCGTGTGCGGTAAGGAATCAAGAACCGTTGTTTTAAATGACAGGATAAAATGATTCTTGAAACGAATACTGGATCACTGAATAAAATAGATAAATGCGGCAACAGTAATATTTCATATAATTATGCAAACATGCACTAGTAACATTACAGAGCATGATAAACGTGCGACTCGACCGGTTTGTGTGGGGCTGCCTTTACGCGTTTCGTCTATTCGTGTTGATGATATCAGAGGTATTGATATGCGTCAGTCGCAACCAGAGCTCTGAAGCCTCAAATTGATATTTTGATTTGCCTACTTTGAAATAACACTTGAATTTGGGGCCCCAAATAAATAAGATGTTGCTTCGAGCACGCCAGTACATTGCCTACAGACATCTTTAACTTGCAATATAAACCAAGAAAAGTACTACAGTTTTGTAGACATAAATATACAGATTTGGACACTATAAAGCGATCCGCATAACTAACTCATATCAGAGTAAAATGTCTAAAGCCTACACAAGCAATTGTAACCGGCTTTCATTTGTTTGTGACAAAAACAAACGAAAGCTATAAACTTTAGCTTTGTATTTTAATAGCTTTATGTAGGTGTGTTATTATAATCGATATAAGTTTTGCAAGGGTGCAATTAAAAGTATTGTTATGCGTGTAATACGAGTCGAGCATCGAGAACAATAGAGTTTCTAGGAACGTAATCGCTTGCTGAATGGGCGGTGTTATCTACAAATCCGTTCCAATAACCCGAATGAGGAAGGCCTGGCTTATCAGACTCGTGAATGGCTTTCGGCAAGTCGCTCGCAGGTCGACGACCTAGCCGCGTCTAGATGACCTGGGAACTCGACTAGTGATGTACGTTTCGATCGTCTTTAACTGATACGTTAATAAAATAATATCTTAATTCTGTAGATATTCGTTCTTTTCTCGTTTGCCGCTACTTAGCGGCGGTACCGGCATGAACCTAAAGGTCGCGATCTGGATTTCATTCTCTCAGTTGGCGATAATTTGTTTTTGATTTGCGTTAAATTCGACAAAGACCGCCAACAGCACCGGCTCCGCGCCCGCCGGGACCACTTTCTGTCATTACGTATTTTATTGAGGTGGGATTTCGAGATATTTTCTGTATTTTTTTAAATAACTCCAAATACGCTTCCTGTTATGTTTTTACGGTGAATAAATTAAGGATATCAACACAGTTATCGTATCAAATTTCCATTAAAGTATTTTTATTTTATTGTTCGCGAAAACGCAAAAAGAAGGAATTTGGACAAATGCAAAAGTTGTTTTAATGTATTTTTTATGGAGTTTAAGGAAGTTGCATTGTGATTCTTTAATTATTGAAGTTATAGAAATAATTAAGTAACGCTGTCTACGCCATAAAAAGTCTTTATTTTAAGCTTATTAAAAATTCAGATAATTCCGTTTAGATTTCAATGGGAGTATATCTAACAGTCAATTAACAGGCAAAGGGCAGTCATGGCCGCGGCTTCACTCCGCAATTAAATTTACTGCAACTTTCATCAGCAAATGCTAAGATTTTATGTCAATATACTTGCCAATGTGAAATGACTAACTTGTCTATTGCAATATTCGAATCGAATACTTCTCACGATACTCGGTAAGGTTATCTTTCAATTTTACTTTTTGGAGTTTTTGAATTATTACTATTATTGGACGTAGACAATATCTTACGAAAATAACATAGCAAACCGATGCTTAATATTGTTTTTAACAATAATAAATTATGAGATATCTTTTTGGCACTTTCACACGCTATCTTTTATATCTTATTATTAGCTAATTTATAAACTAATACCGCTTATCTGTAGCTCCATCAAGTAGATTTTTTTTAATAATTAACGAGAGTCGCGAAGGGCAAATATAAGTAATTTGATATTTTGACAGTGCCTTATGATAACTGTGTTTACGATAAACATGTAAATTATAGATAATATATTATTGTGTCACATTAGTTTTATTAATTAACGTAACGGGAATGTGGAAATGACTCGAAGCGAAAACTTCTAATTTTGTACTTAGTATATCTTATTTTTCTATATAATCGGAATCCTTGTCCTCAGGTCTGCTTATTGGTTCAAAAACATAATTCGTTCCCTTATGTTTATGAATTAACAAGAAGTATTACAATAATACAAGTATTCGTTTTCGGATATGGTAAAAGCTAATCCAAATTTGAATTTAGGATAATAGTAGTAATTTTCGGGGTCTCCACCAGAGCCGTTCAGTTAAGTGACCATTGAGGCTAGTTAATTGAAAGCTCCAAGATTCTCATACCATATTTAAGTCCGAACCATGTACTATGGTATGGCTGGTACCGGCGGGTAGTTTGCTGGGGGCGCTGTGGGCGCAGAGGGCGCGGGCGGCGCTGCTGAGAGGCGCATGCAGGAGAACAGCACACCAGGAAGAATCTCTTGTCGCGGATCTTCTCTGCTGCCTTGAGCCGTTCGCGCGCCAGACGACCGGCACAGCGCCGTGGCCCACTACCGCCGCCCAGCCCTTCGCCCACGCCCACCATCAGCAACACTAGCACCAAACAATTCATTGTCGCGTCCTAACACATCGCACGATACTATATCACATTACTGCCCACACATCGACTGTCTTTTGAAACTGTTGGTTGAGGTATTAAATAATTGGTAAAGCCATTCCCGCGCGACGTACCGATCGCGTGCTGTCTAGCGTCATACGGCAAAAAAGCGTGCGTCCTCACCGGCACTGCCGCGCAGACTGACTGCCGCTGGCCACTGGCCGCTGGTCGCTGCGGGCAGCACGGACCAGGATGGAGGCACCACGCGCTCTTGGGGCCCGGGTTCAGGTTCACTTTGCCACTTCTGTGCGCTAAAATCGCGCTTTTTCTCCATCCAACCGATTCGCCGCTAAACTCGTTCCACGCGAATTGATTGTCGAATATCAAACTCGTTCGATTCCGCGTCCGGGCAATGACCGCTCACACATCACTCAGAGTTAAAGGCGCTAGCCGTGTTTTTGTTTTTTCGGTGGTGGTTTTGATTGATGATATTTTGAACTGATTCAGAGAATTATGATCCTTCGGAGCCGGATACGATATTACAGCGTGGATTGAAGTTTTTGAATACATCCTAATATAGTTTCAAATAAAATATTTTTCTATTCTTTCAGAAACTCAAGCTTTTGAAAATCCTTGTTTCAACGCTCATTAGTAAAATATGGCTTATTTGGATTTTCCTTACTTTAATCTATGTTCCGTATTGTTTCTGCAAGCGTCAGATTCCAGAAGCGCTACGCTATCAGGCCAGTCTCGGGCACTAATTAACAGCTTGTATCTATAGATCGCTCGGGAGATAGAGGGCGCGCGGGTGGTCGGGCGCGCCGCGGGACGCCACTAGTCCATCATACTGAGACGAGAATGTAAATAACGATACTATTTAAATCTATTTGATCACGTTAGGAATTGAATTCTCTATCGTATGCTAGCACTCCAAATAGAAATAGCAATATTCGTCTTCCTTAGCAAACTTCCTAATGTGTTCCCACCATTATTTATATTTGTACAACTCAAAAAATGCAACTCTTGTACAATTGCGTAATTGTAGCATGGCCTGGAATCTGTGGAATGTAATCAGATATCGCGGTCTCGTGTTTGTCCATGGATCAGCTGCACTACACAAGTACGACTGGCAAAGTCTATATTACAAGCTTTTAATTACCGGTTCTTAACGTTACCATGACAACGGAACCAGCGACACAATTTTAGTTTAATGCAAGATTTTACTTTGGGATACGTAATAGACGTATTAGAATGTTAAATTGAATCCTCTACAAATCTCTGAGGACCTCAGTATGGAGATATATCCACGAGAGAATGGCTAACATATATCGCAACTTCCTAATGAAAAATAACAGAGAGAGAATCTTATATTACAAAATTTTCAGTGGCTAATAACCTTAAAAACAAACATGCTTACACACAGTACCATGTGACGTCACGCACGTGGCCCGTACCGGCTTATCTGTATTAAATCTTCGTAACGTTTAGAGTAGAAATAAACATTCATTTCAATTATCCACTCGAGCAATCACGGACGAATGTTTTTTTATCTTTTTGCGTAACTCGCTCAATTAACCTAAGGCCTCACAAAGCAAACCATTATGTGTCACGACAGGGCTTATCGGACGCGGGCCGCAAATACAAACAATGTATTTTATTATCATTCATTTTTTATGGACATGATACGTGTCTGATCCTTTTTTAAAGACTTAAAAATGAGCTCCGTCGTTAATATTTACAAATTATTTGCATGCAAAATAACTTTGCTGTTTTAAACTATCTTACTCGATCGTAGTTTGTTTTGTCTATGATATAAACAGAAGTTGGGAACCCCTGGTAATAAATTGATGCACGAGTGAATAAGGTCGCGGTGAAAAATTGTACTCAAATAAATAAAATCAACGAAGAGGATATTTCTTCATCAAAACCCAGAGTAGTTATATTTAAAAAGTACATTTTACGCAAATGAAAAAACAAAATGTGGTAACTCCTGCATTTTGTCTCTAAACTCATTCTGTCCTTTCCATACGTAATTAAAACATGTAAATTACTATATAAAAGCTTACTTTCCTAACACCACCGTGTCTTACGTCATTATACACGCAAATGTCCGAATCACTGTTCTTTATGTTAAATAGTAGCGTTCACAAAATTGGGTCATGAAATCTGAGTACCAAGGCCTTCGTTTGCAAAGGGCCCACTGACGCGTCCTGTCCGCGTGGGCGGCGGCCCTGACAGCCCACGGATTAGATTACTTCGTAGTAACATTGACAATGTTTTAATCTGACTTGTGTTACGGTCAAAATTTATAATATTGTTTACTAAATTAAGGACACGGAACAATAGAGAGAAATGTGAAATTGTTCTTGCTCAAAATCTTACCAATATTATAAATGCGAAAGTTTATTATTAACTTAGCCACGACCGTTTATCGCCACCAAGCATTTCTCTTAAAACAGCGCAATGCAATGCCTCGATGACGTCATTCCCGCCTCAATCGTGTTCCTGCAAATTGCTTGCGTTAGACCGAGGACATTGGGCAATGATGACCCCTGGCCTTTAGCAGTGATAAGGCGTAGACATTATGTCTATTGGATTACTATTACTGAGTAAAATAGAACTTCAACACATATTGCTTAAATTGGTACTCAATCTTTTGTACTGAAGTTTTTTTTTGTTACGTTGGTAGCATATTTGTGGTAAAAATTACTCTGGCTTATTTCTAATGTAATACGTCATAACGAAGTTGTATTAGAACTGTCGTTACTCGCTTGATTTTTTTGGAATCGCCATTTTTTTCTCACCTTCACGATGATTTGTGTTAAGTCAACACTAACATCCGGTTACTTATCATGTGCTTTAATTCTTGTTGCTGCATAATACCGCTACATTAACAAGTGCTGTTTAAACTGCGATTGTGATTTTCAATTTTTCGTTAAAATGTAGCAGACATCATTCAATTGTTTAGTGTCGCGCGGACAGAGTTGCGGGCGAAAGCTAGTCTCAAATAATTCAAAGATCCGATGCTCAATAACGTTGCGAATGGAGACACAATGACATCGGGGACTGCAAAGTGGGGGCGGGCAGCAGGGGGGGGGCAATTAATTACGTGAAGGCGACAGACAGCGCGACGACAACGGCAAGCACGGCGACCACGAGACAACACGGCGTGGCTTCGTGAGGTTATTTCAGACACGGCCCTTGTTCCTGTCGGTGTCCGCTCTAAATATATTGCACCGAGCTAAACCTAGCTTAAATAAGGTGTACTCCTTTGTAATAGATTTTAGGAAGACTTTGAGAGACATGAATGGACTTAAAAAACAGCATAACACAAAGGTGTTACGCTGTTTGCTTTACATGATAACTCCTATTTTATTCCATACTTCTTAAATGGCCTCTTTTCCTGTAGGAATGTATTGTTTCATGAGAGGGCAATGTGCAGGCGCTGCGCTTGCGCAGGCGTTTGTTGACGCGCTGTGTAAATAGGAAGCAAGCGCCAATAACAAGTGCAATGCTTTGAGCTAGGGTGACCATACTTACACAACATAATCTCGGATCCTTCTGTCAAGTCTACGTATTCTTCATTACTTTTAAATGATTAATTAAAGTACATATTTGCTTAAAGACGTATTAAACAGTTTTATTTTTCATTCAGTCAACCTTTTTTTAAAAAAGGAAATGTAAACTTTGGTTTGGCAAATCTAATAAGTTGTTTAAAAATTTTTTTATTAATTTTACCGTAATAGTCTTCAAATATAGTAAAAAGTATGTTACCCTACTCTAGAATCCGAAAGTCTGCTGTGAATGAAAATTCGGTACAAACAGTTGTTCAAACTAATTACATGAAACAAATGGTACACAAAACTTTAAAGGATACTTAAAGATTGACGTAGAAGATATTAAGAAATACTAAAACAAACATTTAGTAACTCTGAGTACAGAAATTTAAATGAAGAATAAAAGAATCGGATCATTTACAATTTAACTAGAAATAGACTGGTACAGAGCGACTTCTTGCTATATTTATTCGTGTATGATGTATGAAGCAATTGGTAATAACACCGTAGATTAATGAGGACACGCTGTACCGTTGCACTGTTTATTTTTATCACGACGCAGGAGGTGCCTCTGTCCAATATCACACTGACCTGTATACGAATATGATTCCCAGCTTCATATTTAAGATGGCTGCTAAATAAATATCAGGTAGTAAATATCATAAACGGAAGGTAAAGAAGGAAAGTACCTTGTCCAGAACGTCCAGACCCATAAATTGACAGAAGACGATATGTCACGTAAGCTAATTTGATCAAAATACTGAGGTTTCCTTTTTTGAACTTTTTGCGGGATTGTTTCGTGGAAGTGACATCAGTCTGTCAACAGAGGGCGACACTTGCATC